CGCCACCCCTTGCCACTTCCTTCCCTCCCCTCCACCTTCGCTTTCCCTCCCGCCCTGCCTCACAGTGCCTCTTTTCTTCTTGCTGCCGTTACTCGGTTAAACTCTCCTGCTTTTATTCTGTCGCTGTGTAATGACAATGATGTGGGAAGGAAAGATTGAATGAGCTTTGCACAAGACAGATCAGCGTGTGTTTTCATATTAGGAAGAAGAGAAAGAGTTGGAATGAGCAAGGGCACAGATAGGAGACGATGAATGCAATTTTTGAATTGTAGTCTCCCTCAAAAGCTCCCAGCAGACAATACAAAGATATCACTGTGGCTCACGCTGTCTGTGTGTCCGTCTGTGTGTCCGTCCGTCTGTCCGGCCGTGTCTTCCCGGTGGCAGAGAGATGCCTGGAGGACCACGAACTGGTGGTTCAGGTTCAAGCTTCCATGAGCAGCGACAGCAAATTCCTCTTCAGGAAGAACTATGCCAAATATGAATTCTTCAGGAACCCCCTGGTGAGTCTCTCGCATCCCCGGGTTGACCTTTCTGTGACTGCGTCGCTTCAGCACGCAGCGGTGCACACACACGCACACACTTCACCGTGATGATTCTGGTTTGGAGCGGCACATTGTGGCAAATGCCAGTATCCGGAATGTATGTATGTTCAATTAAAAGGCTTCAGGCTGTCGAAACGTTTTGAACGACAGTGGATGTCCATTAGCTCACACAGGAGTAACCTTTATTCTCATAATCATGCTAATATTTTCCTAATGAGGTGGTTTTTCCGTCTTCCTCGCGTTAACAATGTGGCCCATTTAGACCATCGGTGTTAAATTCACAACACGTGGGCCAGATCCGGCCCGCCACATCAATTCATGTGGTCCACTCAAGCAACTGGCAAGTGTGTGTGAATTTCTTCCTTTCGTTCTGATCCCCGAAATCCCTCCTCAACCTGCAGCACATTCAACTCTCGTTGTATACTTCAATATTTGGTGGCCACTTTTGTTTCCTCAAACTTCTACTTTCAAACTCAATTTGCTGTGAAAAAGAACATAACAGAAAGTCAAGAGTAGGCACGGGGGGGGGAATTTTTTAAATATTCCAAAGCAGAAGGAGGAATGGTAAAGTATCCGTCTATTCTAGCGGAAATATAAACATTTGTGTTTTGCGCTAAGCAGAACCCCTTGCGAAATAATACACCCATCCATTTTTCAACATGGCTTATCCTGAACAGGGTCGCGGGGGGGGGCTGGAGACTATCCCATTACTATTTAGCTGGAAAAAAACGACCATGTATAGGAAGTCGTTTTTAGCCGAAACGACCATGTATAGTAAGGCGTTTTGAGCCGAAAAAAACGATCATGTATAGTAAGGCGTTTTTAACCCGAAAAAAAACGACCATGTATAGTAAGGCGTTTTTAGTCCGAAAAAAAACGACATAGTATAGTAAGGCGTTTTTAGCCGAAAAAAACGACATAGTATAGTAAGGCGTTTTTAGCCGAAAAAAACGAC